TCCGCAACGCCAAGCTCAGCTTGATTGAGTGGGACCCTGAGCGTCATGGAATCTCAACAATTTCCATCCATTACTACGAGCGGGATGACCTGACCCGCAGCCCCTGGGTGCCTGACCTGAGCCGGTGTGGGAGCATTCTGAGCGTTGACCCAAGCAGCAGATGCGCGGTGTACAATTTTGGAATTCGCAACCTTGCGATTTTGCCCTTTCATCAGGCAGGTGATGACTTGGTTATGGACGACTACGATTCGGAGCTTGACGGAGAACGCCCAAATCAGAACTCTGGTGGAGGAGCACAAATTGAGAATAGCAAAGAAGGACCAATACACCAAACACCCTACTCCTCGTCTTTCGTCCTGCCATTGACTGCCTTGGACCCTTCATTGCTACACCCCATAAGTCTTGCGTTCTTATACGAATACAGGGAGCCGACGTTTGGAATTTTATATTCTCAAGTCGCAACCTCTACTGCCCTTCTCCATGAAAGAAAGGACGTGGTATTCTACGCCGTGTTTACACTGGACCTTGAGCAACGAGCTTCTACCACTCTTCTTTCGGTATCTCGTCTTCCTAGTGATCTATTCAAAGTCGTGGCACTCCCACTTCCTGTAGGAGGTGCCTTGCTTCTTGGCTCAAATGAAATTGTTCATGTGGACCAAGCCGGTAAAACCAATGCGGTGGGAGTTAATGAGTTTTCAAGGCAGGTTTCTTCATTTTCAATGACCGACCAATCGGACTTGGCGTTCCGCCTCGAAGGCTGCGTGGTTGAACGACTTGGTGGTGATAGCGGTGACCTCCTCCTAGCACTTGCATCCGGCGACATGGCATTGATCAAATTCAAACTTGATGGTCGGTCTGTCTCCGGTATCACTGTTCACTCCCTTCCGGCGCATGCAGGTGGGGATATTTTGAAGTCGGCCGCCTCCTGCTCCACTTGTCTCGGGGATGGAAATGTTTTCATTGGCAGCGAAGATGCCGACTCGGTGCTCCTAGAATGGTCGCATTCATCCGCCTCTGTTAAAAAAGCTCGGCTTGAGTTGAAACAAACAGCGGATGGTCCGGATGGTCTGTCGGATGATGATGACCAGATGGAAGATGATGACCTTTATTCCTCGGTGCCTGGGCCGACACAAGTCGATAATCGCATGGGGACCGACAACTCAACCCCCGAATTTTATAACTTTCGACTGAACGATCAACTTCCTAGCATTGGTCCATTGAGGGACATCACTTTGGGCAAAGCTTTCTCGAATACGGATCGCAAAGGCCAAACTGCAAGTGAAACTGTTGCCGCAGAACTGGAGTTGGTGGCATCTCAGGGCTCAGACAGAGGCGGTGGCTTAGTAGTCATCAAACGCGAAATTGATCCTTTGACTGCCATGTCTCTGAAAGTCGATGACGCGGATGGTGTTTGGTCAGCCAGTGTCCAAAAAAGGAGAGGGCCTTTCAGTATAGACAACCCCTCTCGTCGATATGTGGTTATCTCTCGGTCTACAGATTCGGAGCAGGAGGTGAATGAGGTCTTCATCGTGGAAGAACAAAGCTTGAGCCCTTTTAAAGCACCAGAGTTCAACCCAAACGAAGATTCCACAATTGATATTGGATCTTTAGCAGGCGATACTCGTCTAGTTCAGGTTCTGCGGAATGAAGTCCGAAGCTACGACATAGGTACATTCTACTCCAGCCTGCTGGCAAGCATTGCATAAGCTAATGGTGAAACTTTACAGACCTGGGATTGTCACAGATTTACCCCGTTTGGGATGAAGACACCAGTGATGAGCGTGTGGCTGTGAGCGCCAGCTTTATTGATCCTTATCTTGTGATTATTCGGGATGATTCATCAGTATTGCTTCTGCAGGCGGATGAAAGTGGTGACCTCGATGAAGTTCCGCTTTCAAATGAGATTAGCTCGTCACAATGGCGCTCCGGATGCCTTTATCATGATAATTCACAGTCATTCAGCGTTGCAGGCTCATCGTCGAAGGACTTTTCAGAAGGCGAGGTGCTTCTATTCCTATTGAATTTGGAGTATAAGCTATCGGTAGGTGGCCGCAAAAAGAAGATTTAGGCATTGGTTCTGACTTAGATTACAGATCTTCCGACTTTCTGACATGAAGTTGATCGCGATCATTGAAGGCGTCGACTGCTTACCACCCATATTGTCGACCGAGCCGCCCAAACGATCTAATAATCGGGAGACGCTGACGGAATTCGCTGTTGCAAATCTCGGTGATAGTTCTAGCCTTTCACCTTATCTGATCGTAAGAAACCTTTTGCCAATGGCTTTTCTGATCTCTAACTCAAGCATCCTAGGTTCGAACCGGAAATGACGATCTAGTGTTCTATAAACCAAGCCTAGTCCCGGCAAATGCTGGTCATGCATCGTCTCGTCGCTTGCAATTATTCCGAGAGTCAAATCATGTTCTACCAAAAACCCCTTCAGGGGAAGTATCCTCTCAAATACAGAAACAACAGCGGTTGAGACCCCTGAGGGTTCTTCCTAATGTCTCGGGGTTTAGCACCATCTTTATGCCGGGAGCCTCATCAAGCTTTGTATTTAAGACTGCAAAGAGCTCACCACACATCATTCGCCTTAGAGGAGGCTTTACACGTTGGCTAAGTTCCTTTGATTCGGCCGATACTGGCTGTGAAAATGGGTTCATTTACGTTGATTCCCAGGTGAGACTTTTCGTTCACCGTTGTGATGCTATCTCCATTTACTAATTCTGTCATTGTAGAGTTGTCTTCGGGCTTGTCAATTACCTTCTCAAACTCAATTTGACTACCCGTGGACATTACGCAAAGTTCCGATTGACGAGCAAGTCGATTTTTTGGCCTACTCGACCTCTTCTGAGACTTATGTTCTCGGCACAAGCCGCCAAGGTGACTTCAAGTTGCCGGAGAGTGATGATCTGCACCCTGAGTGGCGGAATGAAGGTTCGTGATTGCTTCAAGCGTTTTCCCATCATGCTATGCTAATTCAATCTCAAGAGCTATCCTTTTGTCCAAAAATCCCCGAAAGTAGCATCAAGGTCGTCAGTCCAAAGACATGGTCCATTATTGACAGGTAAATCCACCCCAAATTCATCCATAAACTCAAGATGTGACAGTTCCGAAGACTAATATATCTAGTTACCCTCTGGATCCCGATGAGCAGGTGACAGCGGTGAAAAACGTGAATATTGAGGTTTCGGAGAATACACACGAACGGAGGGATCTAATCGTGGTCGGAACCGCCATTGCTAAGGGGGAAGATATGCCAGCTCGCGGGACGATCTATGTCTTTGATGTGATCAAAGTGGCCCCAGATCCCGAAAAGCCGGAGACAGGCCGCAAACTCAAGCTGATTGGCAAGGAGTCCGTGAAGGGTGCAGTGACCGCCCTGTCGGGCATCGGTGGCCAAGGGTTCATAATCGTAGCCCAGGGACAGAAGTGCATGGTCCGAGGTCTCAAGGAAGATGGGAGCCTTCTTCCCGTTGCATTTATGGACATGCAATGCTACGTCAATGTTGCCAAAGAGCTCAAGGGCACCGGCATGGTTATCCTAGGAGATGCCGTGAAGGGACTATGGTTCGCCGGCTACTCAGAGGAGCCATATAGAATGACACTCTTCGGAAAAGACCCCGAGTACCTGGAGGTGGTGGCAGCCGACTTCCTTCCGGACGGGAACAAGCTGTACATGCTAGTCGCTGATAGCGACTGCAACCTGCACGTCCTGCAATACGACCCGGAAGACCCCAAATCCTCCAACGGCGATCGACTCCTCAGCCGAAGCAAATTCTACACTGGCAACTTCGCATCATCAATCACTCTTCTGCCTCGCACGGCAGTTTCATCGGAGCTCACCGAGTCATCTGAAGAAGCAATGGACGTGGATGAGACCTTCGCCAAACACCAGGTTCTTATCGCTTCGCAAAATGGGTCTTTGGCACTTGTGACGTCGGTTGCTGAGGAGTCATACCGTCGACTATCAGCACTACAGTCACAGTTGATCAACACCGTCGACCATCCTGCCGGTCTGAACCCGCGTGCTTTCCGGGCTATAGAAAGCGATGGCGCTGCTGGCCGTGGTATGGTTGATGGCAATCTATTGCGTCTATGGCTGAATATGGGCAAGCAGCGACAGACTGAGATTGCGGGCCGAGTTGGCGCGACGGAATGGGAACTCAAGGCTGATCTGGAGACTATTGGCGGTGATGGACTCGGATATCTATGATGCCGGAAACGCCTTTTCGGTGCATTAGAAGGAAATGACAAAAATCGACTCACTGAGTGAGCTTACTGTTGCAATTTGATTCTATCATGTCTACATTCTCCGGAACATAAAAGAGAAGTAAGTGGGCAGCCCAAGATAGGATTTCAATATATAGCATGGGGTATGGCCACGAGAACATAGCTGAATGAAGGGTTCTCGCTGCACCAAAGAAGCCCCATCACGATCAAATAGCGTGATATCATAACACAATGGGATATAACTAAACCACTAAACCACATCCAAAAAAAGAAGACAAAAACGGAAGGGAAAAAAAAAACCAGACCCCAGTGCCAACCCCAATCCCAGTGCCAATCCCAACGTGGGTAATCCAAGTACATCCAAAATCCATCCCCGTCCAATTCCTACATGTAAAAAATTCAACCAAAATAACCGAGTAAATCAAGTGAAAACGCCCAAGCACGCCACATTCGCCATTTTCGCCTTGCCCGATTCGTATTCAAAGATTAAAATCAGATCCTTGAAACCATCCATCCCCTCCCGACTGAGCATCAAGATCAGTAACACATTCGACATGTCAGTTTGGAATCAACCATGTTTCGTACTTTGTGTTTTATGGGAAAACACAAAGCCAAATCTAAAAAAATAAAAAAAAATAAAAAAGCAATGACAACCCCCCAAAAAAGAAAATTCAAGAAACACCTCATCCCAGTGTGACAATGCAGATGCAAGGAAGAGACAGACACCACCCAGCGCCATTAACCCAACATACCAGTACTGGGGATGTTTAGAACACGTCTTCTGCGGCAAAGTACCTTTTGCTCCGGCCTCTAGAGGCCACGAATTTCATCTCCGGCATGTTGGTATGATGCACTACATGTGGTCGGTAGACAGCATCGACAGGGGCTTGCCAGTCATCCATGCCGAGGGGGAAGTATTCGTAGAGAAGATCAGTGCTTTCGTTCGGAAAGGGGAGCGATGATGCGAATGACTGGGGCAGGTTGGCAGTCTCTAGCAACGGCATGGATGAAGCAACGCTCCGCGAGGGGGTTTGAGAGACAGCATGAGAGAGCTTGCGCATCTTAGAAGGGGGGCAGATTGGTCGAGACTCAGCGATCGCTGATGTGACAACTCGGTAGCGAAAGGGGACACCATCTTCTGGTCAAGATGGAGATTAGGGTCACTGCCTTCTTCCTCGTCTAGTAACGACAAATTGATCGGTGCAGCGGCCGCTGTTGTGGAACTGATACGGCGATGTGAGTCGGCCTGAGAGAGTTGCTCCGGGCTGGAATGACGGAACATGGACTTGGGGGCATGAGACATGACAATGTTTGATGCGGACTGGGGGATGGGGGTCCAATCCGGGGTTGCTTTGGTCTGCTGCATAATGCTCGGCGGGGGAACGGATGTTGTTTCAGGAGAGCTGCTCTGGGCGCCTGGCTTCGTCTTGGCGGGAGTCACGCTGGCACGACGCGGGACGGAATCGCTTGTCGGTGTGCGGTTCATAGCGGAATTCGAGGAGTTGGCCTGGGCATTCTTGCGCGACGCGGCAGCACTCCCACTAAGGGGTAGATCTTTGCGTGACTGGAAGTTGCGTGGGCTGCGACCACGAACGATGACAGGGCCTGACTGCACCTCCGAGATGGGGATCTTCACACCAGTGGATAAAGTCGCGACCACCTTGAGGCGAACAACGAAGTGTTGTTGTAGCTCCTTTCGGCGACCGTTGTTGGCGGTCGCGACACGGAATTGTAGACGCTTCCAGGCGATAGGGAAGGTTGCGTAGTCTGAATCCATGTCCTGACCCGCCATGATGTCCAAGGGAATTGGGGGAGGCTCCTTCTCGATCTTAGCGCCAGTGCTAGGGTTATTCTCCTCGGGTACCGTGCCAGAATTAGCAGCAGCCGCCGAAGGGGTCTTCCATGGCACCGAGATAATCTTCACCGGGTTTCCTTCCACGGATTCTGTGGCTGATACGGTGAGTTCCTGTGCGAGGATGGGAATTCGGTCGCCTTGGTCGGTCATGATATAGCGCATCCCGCGGGGCAGAGTTACTGAACCGGTAATTTGGAACAGATTGCGACGATAACACGTCAACTCGGCACCTTGTTGTGGCGGGGCATTTTCCGAAGGGGATGTTGTGTAGGGGGACTCGGCGAGAAAGAACATCCCGTGCAACTGTGCCGCCACCGATAAATGGATTTGGCGCATGGAATAGGTCAGGAGTGTGAAGGGATATATCGGTACCGAAAAGCTTAACAGCTTGTTATTGTGGTCGATCGACGAGTCCTGGGGTTGTTCCTGAGGCGCTGGGTCAAAGGGCGCCACCATCTCGGTGAAAGGGTCATCGTATGCGGAAGAGAAACGTCTCAGTTGATGTGACAAATTAGGAGGCGCAAAGTTAGCGAGATCCTCACTATTGTATATTAAATTAGCAAAAAAAAAACAATTTCAACCGTCGAGCGGGAGTGGATGATCCACCCCCTCTCGTCCCACTTGGAGATCTAATCACCTAACAAAGGTCTCGGAATCGAAGTTGGACCGGTGATCCGGTAGATCCAGGCCAGACATGGCATTGAGATAGTCGGTACTCTGCAAATTCCCAAGTGACAAGGGACTGGCCAAATATGGCGGCATCGCCATAGTATCGAAGCCCTCCATGGTAAGAGCCTATGCGATACGGAGGCACACCCGTAGACGATGCGGGGGAGGAATAGTTATAGAATTGTCTCTTATATAAAGACAGCGAGAGAAAGAGGAGAGGAAAGGAATAAAGTAAAAGAAGAGAGGGAAAGGGCAAGAGAAAGAGGTCAGACGAAGAGAAGCCCAAGGATGAGTAGACAAGACCTGGGGAATGCTGCAAGCAACGGAGCGGAAAGATAGGCTAAGGCGGGAGTGAAGGCGGAGAGGACATTTGAGACGGAAATGGAAATGTCAGGATTATAGTGGGTATAGATGGTATCGAGAGGTATTAAAGTGTGTCCCTAAAGAGAAATGAAAAGAAACAAATCACCGGAGAGAGTGAGAGAGTGAGTGAGTGAGAGAGAGAAAGAGAGGAATCTCGACCTTCTGCACCCAAACGATCAACGGATTCGGGGAATAGTGGAGCCGCGGTTTTTGCGGAGAACGAACGCAGCGCTGAGTCAGCTTTTATTTTATTTTTATAGATAATTTATCTAATTTATATAATTTACCTAGGTACACGGAGTAGAGGTTTAGAGGTTTAGAGGTTTATAGATTTACCTTTTGTTTAATATTTAGCATTTTATATTAAATATTAAAAATTAAATACAAAATATCAAATATCAAATATAATTTCTTTTAAATCATTTTTGGTACGGAGTAGTACGGAGTATCTCAGACACTCATATCCAATAACAATTAAACATGCAAATCCCTCAGCACTGATGGGGTAAAACTTGATCGCCGGCTCTCGGCAATCATCTCTCTCGCTGGGCCCTGAAGATCAACGGAGGTTGATATTATCTACTCCGTACAATCACTCCCATTACTTTTGTCTGGCAATTCTGATACAAGTAGTCTGTACCTAGGTATAATCTAAAAATATTAAATTCCTTTAACGAATACCCACCTGCCTATTAAGGTACTGCTGCTTCGGGTCGACCCCCCCCTCCTGAAAACGCCACATATTAATAATATAATTCATAATATTGGAGTGAAGAGTACCGAAAGGTCGGTACTCTCGTATGTCTACTGTATAAGGTCGGAATGAATATATAATTGTCTAAGCTTGCTTTCTACAATATATCTACACATAATTCCCTTTTTACATCTCAACAATGTGATCACATTCGCCTTAAGGATGATCATCATCGGCCGTCTGACCTGCAGCTGTAGGGGCCAACCGGCATCCAATCAGAATATGCGGCGCATTGGATCAGAAACCGGTGCCCCCCGTACTCTGCTGGACCCTGTACTTTGGCTATTAGCGCCCCACTGAAAACGGTAATAATAATCTGCAATCTGCAATGTTATCATGCATGTAATATTGTGAGCGATAAGTGCCTCGGTAGCCTAGAGAGTTGAGCTGTTTGGCCTCAGGTCCGGCGATGTCCGTGGATCTACTCCGTCCTCCGTACAAAGGTCTAAGGTTCAAATTTCATACTTCATATACTTTCTTAGTGTAGTATGTATAGTTCCCTATCCATAATAAATGTGCACCTTTTTTTTTTAAAGCTGTCTTAATAAATAATCTGGGGAAACTCTCCAGATTTCAATAAAACAAAATCCATTATGGAAGGAGATACAGGATGGTCCAGCGGGGATGTCAGACGGTAAGAGAGACTGGGAGATTGAGTGGCGAGAGAAGCTTCCTCGTTTTCGCATGTGCACCAATGAAGAGTAATGTGCATTTACCCGTTTTGATAATTACCGAAATGATCTCCTTTTTTTTCTTTTTTCATTCTTTTTCATTCTTTTTTCTTTTCCTTTTTCATTCTTCTTCCGGCGCGTTTCCCGATGCAGCCTACAAATGTATACCAAGGTTCTGACCACGGGAGCCATCCATGGTTAACTATGGGCTCGTTCCAAGGTTTAATTTTCCAAGGTTCCAAGGTTGGAAGCTCTTTCAACGGTCTCAATCTATCCTTTGGGTTTGGGCTTGAAATCCCGAAAAGCTTTATACATGTAGTATGAGAATGTATGGATCATGTACCGCTTATATTCTAAGAAATATCTCTGTAACATTCCTGGAATCGTAGATTAGGAATGTAGAGACCTCTAGGAGACCAATTCAGCTTCAGCCCAAAAAAAAAATAAAAATAAAAAGAAGCTCCGCTTGTACAACTGAGGGAATTATTAACGCAAACAGAAAACTAAATTGGTTCAAACTCTGAACGCAGAAAACTCATTGGCCCGGGTCAAAGTTAGGCCCCGAGGCCCGAGAAACCTGTTTGGTTTGAATCTTTGATTTTATACGAAGTAGAAGATTAGAAGATATAGACAACGACTAGGGCAAGAGAGAAGGGTTCTTCTTTATATACTAATTCCCTTCTAATGTCACATCGTAAAAACGAAAAGGAAAAAAAAAAAAAAAAAAAAACAAAGACTAAGACAAAAATACTACACTCATAACACCCTGTTTTTTTCTTCTTTCTTTTTTCCTCTTTGACCCCCAAAAAGTGGATGCTTGGCTTCTGCCCGGCGCCAAAGCGGAGTTCCGTTCTAAGCCCACAATTCCCACAATTTCCCACAATTTCCCCCGTAAGACCCTGAAGTTAGAAGCGCATTGTTTGAAGTACATCTATAGTTTAGCCAAGGTCGAGCTCCAACGGACTTCCGGTCCAGTAAGATCACAGCTTTAATCGTGATGCCTTGTGAAAGCTAAAAAGTAATTAGAATTCATATTGCCCGTAAATTAATATAAATCTTGCATAACAAGTATGGATGGAACTCGTAGCCGACGGTCTAGTTAGTCTAGGTAAGAAGTACAAAGTACGGAGTACATACTCCGTACATATTGGATATACATGAATCCATCCAAGTCAATTCATTCAACTCGAATCCCCACGAGCCATACAACATTCCACATTTACGGAACACATACTTCTATAATGCAGATATACAACATATATCTCTGTTGATCGCCAGTGGGAACCCTGTGATCATAGATGATCATAGATGTATTTATTTGATTGGACCAAATGACGCCAGGACAAACTTTCCGTCCTACCTCAGACCAAGTGCCCCCAAAATGAAAAATGAGTCAATATGTATCAAAAGAAACTCCTCCGAAGAAACCGTTACCGGATCGTGTGAAACAAAGAAAATGGACTGGATCCAATGAAAAGAAAGAAATAAAGAAAATAGGATAAAATAAATACCAAACCCAATGCGATATGGATATCATAGACGTAAGGAAAACAGAGCCGAAAAGAGTACAAAGAGAAAATGAAAAGGGGAATCGAGTCAAGTCTGATCTCTTCGACTACGTATGCATCATCGTCCACGTAGCTGCGTCACAGTTCACTTCCTCAAAGCTGTGGAGCATAGTGAAGCCCATCATGGAGAGATTGTCAAAGTTACTGTCGCCGTCGACCTATCTTTTGTTAGAGGATAAATGGAGGGGGGAAGGAAGCGAAAAACGTACACAGTCCATAACCACGGCATTAGCACTCAATTTCCGGATCTGTTTGATAGCCAGCAGGATCAGGCCCTGCATAACCGTGGAGTAATCTTCACCGCAAGGAGAAATGACCGGGGATGAAATGCCTCCGACAGAACCCTGGGTGGCGCGCAACATAGGCATGTGTTCCGCCAAAGCAGATCGCTCATTGTAGATCACGATACTCCCGAGGATGACCCCGTCGGAGGGCCGCTTGGCCCGAATGATCCCGCAGTTAGGCGCGCCACCCAGAGCCATGCGGTAGATATCGGCCACACCCTGTCGCGCATATGTTTTAATGTGATCGAGGATGGTGGGCGCAAAGTCCCAGCCATACACGAGGTCGTATGTGACCTCGGCACTCTGCAGGGTCACAGTAAGTCCTTCGGGCGGCACCCATGTCGACAGGTTGCGGAGGATCACGCTGCACACTGGTCGTGAAAGTCCGGTGTTCCACCCCATGTTCGCGAACCATTGCCGTAGCCGCTTGCGCTCAACAGGGTTGACGGTCGGAATTCCAAGGTAGATCCCTGGTAATCGGGATCCTAGCTGGAAGCGTTTCATCCCGCCCCGTTGAAGTAAAGTCCGAATTGCGCGGCTGTGAAGGGAATGTCCGATTGATAGTTTCCTTCGGGAAGGGTCCACAATGAGACATGCAAGCACACCGGTGCCTGTTGATCGAAAGAAGTAGGTCGCGCAGAACCCATAGAGGGCCTGCGTGCTACTGTTCCGGACAACGAAATGGGCTTCGTCGACATCCTCCTTTCGTAGCAAGAAGCTGCTAGCGGTAACTCCAAGAAGTTCCGATGGCTGGCCCAGTGCGCAGTCGGCACGGACAGTCTCGAGCAGAGCATCCAACGCGAAAGAGTCGCGATCCTCGTTCCAATTTTCGACAAGCCAGTGCTGTCGAGACTGATGAATCTTCTGCGTTCGACCAATGGAGCCAGGCAGGGCCGCTGAGGGTGTCAAGTCGCCATACAAGACCTTGACCAATGCTTGAAGGGCAGTTTCCGTGAAGTCATACGTGCATATATAAGTACCAATGGATGAATCCATGGCAAAATCATAGGGTGAGCTAACGGCCACCACAATCAATGGCCTCTCGCGGCGTTCACCGGATGAGGTATACTGTGATTGGCAGATCATGGAGACGTGTTTTGAGAACCCTTGCTGATATAGATTGCGATTGGCATCTGCCGTGACAACGACTACAGCACTCGCTCTTTGGATGAGGTCTTCGTGGATGGGACGCACGCCGTTGGAAGTATAGGAGGTGTGCAACACGCGCCCATTCCTCTGCCGCGAGAGTGATCGTCCAAGTTCCTTGAAGACCCCCTCGCCACTCAGAATCGAGGAGGTCCGTTCCGAAGACAATGGATCCAGTGACCCATGCGCAGACTCCGCGACCGAAAGAGAAACCGCGGACGTTGGGAGTGGCTTGACCAGCGGAGTCAGAAGCAAAAGTTCCTCGTCTGCCTCGATGACATTGGACAACGGAAGTAGATTATTCTTATCTCTCATCACTGTGATGGAAGAG